TTATGTTTTGAGTTCTGTACATATTTTATAAAATGTACTACCGGTAGTACAGAAGCCTAAATCCAATCCATTAATATATTGCTTAATATATATGAACTAAATTTTAATACAGTATATTTATTGCTTATAATTTAGATCCTAATATCAACAGTAATGATACAAAACTTTATTTCGATGAATCACCTAATGATTTCATTATCCATAATGAATCATTCAATAATTATATTAATTATGGATTGAGTTATGGATTGTATATGTTATCTACTACTTCTAATGGTTCGCCTATTAGTATTACGAATATAAGTTGCTACCAAAAACTTCATACTGCATATTTTTATCCTTATCAAAATTTTTCTCAATTTTCTTCATGTGATGAGTATTTTTCACCTTTAGATAGTAAAGGTTGGAAATTTAGTTGTGCTGATGAATGTAAATCCATACCAAAACTTCCAATTAACACCTTTTGTTATCGAGAACCACAAGATCAAGTTGAAGTTATTACTTATAGAGCAATAGGTGATCCAATTAGCATAGATCATATCACCTTAAATATAACATCAAATGTCACATCATCTCCAAATGCTTCCCTTCCTGATTATTTTGGAATTATTTTCAGTAGAATTATAATTAATGATAAAGCAATGAATCTCTATTTCAACATGATTCCTATACCCCCGTGGTCGTTGGGTTATCCTTGAATTTTCCATATCAATAAGAGATTATTATACACTTCGAGGACGTGGCTTATTATTTGGTCTTAAACCTGAAAATAATGTGGCATATATTGATGTTGATGTTAAAGAATTATCTCCAATTACAGATTCTTCTTATACACTTTTAATAATAAAACCAAAGAATCATATTGTGAGATATATTGAAGAAGATAGCCAATCTTGTAAGACCTATTATTTAAAATATTTATAAATCTTATTTATTATCATTTAAATATATATAACCTTTTCATTTTTTAGTTGTTACAATACTTGCTAATATTGGAGGTTTATATGCTGGACTAACCGCTTTATATACCATATGTTTCGGCACCAGAAGACTTTCTCCATGGTATTCAATTAATTATACTAATTATAATCAAAATTTATATTTTATACAAAATAGTATATTAATACTTTTCTTGGATATATTAAAGGGGTTATTGTCAAACATTTCCGTGCTGGTGGCCACTTCGTCGGATTTTTAAACGTCATTTCGCAAGACATTACGTTTCTAAAGCTGGAGTTCCATTTGTTGAAGATCCACGTAAATTACCTCCTGGTGCTTCTATTGAACATCGAGTTGCTGTGTTAGAAAATTTGTTAAAAGAATATTATCTCGATACAAGTTATTTAGAACTATTAAAGGATACACGTGAAAAATATATTGATTTTAATAAAACTTATCAAGAACTTGAAGAAACAAATACTGATGATATTAGTGATGAGGAAAATAAACATCAAATTATCAATAAGATTTCAAAAAGATAAATTTTATGTATTTGGCTCGGTCGTGTTATAAAAAAAAAGTAATTTGACTGTCATAATTATAATTTAATTGAGTTAAAACTTGTAACATTCTATTTTCGGCAGTATTAAAATGATATTTTATAATGAAATATCATGAGAGTTAATCATATTTTATGTATCTTGAGATAAAATTAGCACCTTTTGATAAATAATTACCGGTAAGTGATTATGTAAATAAATATATGCTTTAAAAAAAATAGAATTTATACGTCACTTATTTTGGAATAAATGTTATTTGAAATCGGACGTCTAATCATTATTCTGAAATCCTCATTGAAACTAGCCTTTCTTGGTTGTGAAATTGACTACATAATTGTCGAAATCATTAGTGAAATTATTAAAATTCTGTATTAAAAATACATTAAATAGTATAGTTATAAAAAACAAATTTAAGTACGGTAAAGTATAAAATTTTAAGCATCTATGTATAAGTTCATTTTATTCACGTCTATTTACATTTAAAATAAAATACTTTTTTAATTTATAATAAATTTCTAGTAAGCTATTAATGAATTATACTTACTGGTGCATAATACCTTTTAATTAATTCATGCAAATTAAATTAACCAACACATATAACTACAATTAATTATTATTCTATAATATTATTCGTTTAATTTATTTTATTTATGTTTTATATATAAGTATTATACGGGTGTTATCATAAGTTTCTAGAATTCGTAATATATTATACTGCATGTAATTTAACCATGTTCAAGATATCTGCATTTTTCGATAGCCAAACCTGATATCATCGAATGACATCGTTATCTTAGGATATGGATAGTTTGTTTTTAATAATTCTTGGCTTAAATGATTGCTATAGTTCGGTGTATTCATTTAGGCCCTAAAGAGACCATTTTTTATTGTCGTCTATTTTTGATTTACTTATGTGAATAATTAACGCCTTAACAATGCTGGAATATATCATAATGATAATTTTAATTTGCTCAAGTGGATCCTACAAAAATGAACCATTATTACAGTATTGTTCGTCATAGAACCTATTCTTTCTATTTGAACGAGCAGGTTACGTGACCAACAATATTTGCTAACGACATAGTACAGTATGGGATGTGATCGCCGAACAAGTCACTTGCACAACACTTGCTGAGCACTTGGATGTGTAGTGGAGAGTTATACCTTTGGCTCTATTTAACTTTCTTTTTACTTTTCTTTGCCTGCAACTTCACTACACATCCTTATTCAAAACTCAATCTTTATTTTAAACTCTATTCATTTTATTTTGTGCCTTTTGGTGATGTGGTGGGGGTGCTGAACGCGAATGTCGAGCAGCGAAAAACAAAACAGAGAGCTCCAAGGATAATCAAATCGCTTAAATCTTCTTACAAATCGATCTTACATCATTGTGCATACAAATGCTTTTACGCATAAGAGATTCCAAGATTTTCATGGCCCTAAATGGTCCAGTGACTCACAATGTATCGCCTTGTGACTTCGTTCATTAGTGAGACAATATTGGAAATGATTATTAAATATGTTGAAATTTTTAATAGTGAAATTTCTATTGGCTGGGATTATCAGCACAAATTTAAATATCATCTTTTTATATTGTGATATCTTAGTTGAGTTAAGGTTAGAGTTAGTGGGCAACATTATAAATTTTGCAAGAAATTTTGTTAGTATGTACTGTATGTACTGTACGTACTATGTACTAGGGTGGTAACTCAACTAAGTAAATCAAAACTATGTGAGCATGCTAGGGAATTTGATATATTACATTTCACGTAATTATTGCCATATTACATATCGATATCATCACTTATTAATGTTATTACATTATTATTAAGCGATACATTCTAAATGTTTCAACTCATTATTGAAGCATGGAATTACCTTGTAATTTTCACAAGTTGTTTACAAAATGTTTAAAAATAAATATTAAAAATCCTCAATTAATATGTGAGTTTGGGTATTCATCTTGCAGAATGCTCTAAATTTCATTAATTAGAAAGAAAAAACTATCTTAAACATGCAAGTCAAAATTTAATTAGAATTCGCAAAAATTCAACATAATTACTTCGGGATAGTATTTCCAATCGAAAGTAATTAGATAAATAAATAAAATTTTTGTGCGAAAACTTTAGAATTTTACGCTTTTTTTTATAATTAAAAGGCTTAAAATCGATTGATCAAGAATTATTATTAATAAAATATAAGAATAACTATCGTCATCATTATTATTGTATAATTAAACCTGCATTTTAAATTTAAACTCATTTCGTAAAGTTTTTTTAGTTGTACGTACAGTGTACAGTATACAGTACTAGGCTCGTGCGTTTATTGGTTGTTTCGGTGATAGTGTTCAATGATTAGAAGATTAACAATGCACGTAATTATCGTTGATCGTATTTTTTCAGGGTTTGGTAATAAACCCGGATGCCCGCCTCGACGACGGCACTCATGGAATTGAATGAGGCTGATTTTAAAGTTATATATCGCCGTAACGCTTTTAATATTCAGATTAATAACGATGAAATGATAGTAATTTCAAATTTTTTTTTTTCAGTTACTGCGATTGGAACTTTTATTTTTTTTGTACAATTTATAATTACATAATTATCTGCACATTCTAGGTATCTCTTCTTGTTTCGATAGATATTGCGGTTTCTAAATTGTTAAGATGGAATTGTTCATTTTCCTCTTTCGAAATTAAATTGCATTGTGTAAAATTTCCACTTCAGCTTCTTATTGTGTAGAGTTTATGCAACTGTATGGTTTATTTTGTAATACCTATTAAAAAACATACAATTGCATGTTTTATAATTATCGTTATGTCGTTATGTTTATGTTTGGATGTATTGATAGCATTTATACAATCTTTAATATGAACCAGCCAACTCCAATTGTAATCTCTCTAAATGTCACCTCTCTCTAAATGCAATTTTAAATTCTGGCCCACTTATGTTTGATCTCTATAAATGCAATTTGTCTTAATTGTTCTCTAAATGCGATTAGGGAGGGTTGACTGTAAATGATTTTATGATGTTTAAATATATGAATTTCATCCTTTAATATCACTGAGACGGTTCATTTGATCCAAGCTGATTGGCGCACCAAAAGTTATTCACTATTAAAGTTGTCACCATTTTGAATAGTAATTCCCAATATTTGAGATATAATTATTGTCCCCAATCGGGAACTTACTGTGCACGGGTAAGATAAAAATATACATTATCATCTATTACTACTTAAATAAAGTTCTATTAATATCCATTAATATTCACGAATAAGAAAAAAAAATAAGAACCAAAACTATGGTCATGTTAAAATCAATTAAAAATATGTTTACAAAATTATAAAAACACTAAAATCAATAAAAATCCATAAATAACATCAAAACAAAAATAGAATAATTATCGTCAAAATAATAAACTTTGAAATGATCTTCTGATTTTAAAGGTATTGTCCTTAAAAAATTAAATGATTCCTTGTCGAAAGAAACATGATTATATTTTGACAATTTTGTACCGGTTTTGTCAAACCAAAAATATAAACGTTGATCTTGATGTTTAAAATCAAAATCTGTAACCAGTTTTGCTTCAGAAGTAGATAAACCACGCGATAAAAATATAATAAGGAATGGTTTAAACAAACCAGAATAATGTGACATTTCCACAAAAAATAACATTTTCATCATAAACTATATCTATAAAATCAGTATATAAAAAGGCTGGTGTAGTGATGAATAAGATGTTAAGAAATTGGGAAAAAAATATAAATATAATTAATATCAGCAAATAAATGGGATATTGTTCGCCTAAAGTGTTAAAATCACCAATATTAAGACATATTATACCATATATTAATAAACCATATGAACTTAAAAATGTAAATATTAAATATATGAGGTCTCTATAAATTAAATATTGAACAACGGCCCATAAATATAATAAGTAAGATGCTATTTTAAATTTATCGAAAGATTCATTGAGAGAAATTGTAACAAAAAATGTGAAAATGGCTAGTAATGTTGAAACGATAGAATGAAAAACAATTCGTCTCCAACGAAAACATAAAAATGTTATATCAAATATAATCGAATTAATAATAAAGAGGAATGGAAGAGCGACTAAAAAAATTATTATTTTCAAAAATTCAGCACAACCTCTATCATTTTTGGTAACAAAATATCGTATATTATTCATTGGAAATTCAATTATAGGTTTCAGAAATTCTGGAATATTGATTAAATCCATTATTTTTGCTTTTTCTTCAGGAATTTCTCTAGAACGTATGACCTCAACTACTTCTTTTGAGGACGTTTGATCACGTTTCACTAAAGATTCTTTTTTTTCGGGTACTTGTATAGTATATTCTGTTTCTTCAGACATTATTCAACTAATCTTCATTGTAAATATTACTATTTTATTTATATAAATTTATCACCATAATTCGTCATAATTCGTGCTACGTGATTGGCTCTTTTCGTTTATTTTGTTAATTATGCTGGCTGCATTCTTAACTGGTTGGAAGTAACACAATACAAATGTTTGCTTTAACGTCTTCTCTTAATATGTCGTCTTATGTCTTTAGCTTGTTCGTGAGAAGCATAAGTATAGCTGACGTGAATTAGGCCGCTTGAAGTTGAAACTTCGTTTAACGTTATCCCCCCTCCATCTTCCGGGTTCCCCCAAAAATTAAACAAATAGAAATGAAAATTTGATCGCCAGCATAGCAGTCGGGCTTTTTCGGTTTACGTCCGGGATTTCTCGATATACTATGTTTAATTTTTATGTTTGTCCCTCCCCCCCCTTTATAAATACGAAAAAAATAACGTTAAACGAGGTTTTAATTTCAAGTCGCCTTAATTTAAAATTTATATGGCTACAGCACTTGTATTTGTCAACCAAAGTGTCGTGCCGTAATAATATAATACAACATATCCATGTTGCTTTGATGCTTGAACATCAAATTGATAATGTAGGAAATGCAATAAAAGATTAGGAAGAGGCGCAATGAAAGATTGGGAAGAAACATAATGAAAGATTGCGCAATAATATTTGTGATAAGGCGCAATAATGTTTGTGAAGGAGCGCGTGAAGAGGCGCAATAAAATTTGTGAAGGGGCGCAATAAAGTTTATGAAAGGCAAAATAAAGAATGTAATTAATTTTTACATTTAAAAAATTTTCATTGCATGTCACAATTTAATATAATGCAACATTTATTTAGCTAATATGAATAGTTTGCATTTATAGTAGAAATTTTGCATTTAGGGAGTTTGCATTCAAAGAGGATTGAATGAAAATGACTTTTCAAAATGTAATAAATACTGAAGTAATGAGTAAAATTAGCTTCGCTAATATTAGATTTTTTGTAAGTTTCGTAAATTAGCCAGTCAGATAAAGATAAATCATTTTATTAGTGTTCCCATTTTGATAAATTATAATTTTGTATTATTTCATGAAAAAGGCAGATTTTGTAAGTCTATTCACTAAGACACTCTAATTTTCAGAATTTAAAATGGATAACGGATATCAGTTATAGCTGCAAGGCACTCTTGTTATCAATAGGTTTAAACTCAATATAATATCTTATTATTTAACTGATTCGAAAATCAATTAAAGAATTTGAAATTATGATTATAATATCTAAATAATTTAGTGCAAATCAAATAAAAAATGATTATATCATCTTAAGTGCTTCGATTATAAATTATTATAGTATTTTGATAAACGACTATTAACTAGCAGTCTGAATAAACATAAATAAAAAGAAATTAAATAAGAAATGAATAGATCATAAGTAAATCGATGCCAATTAATCAATAATCATTACATTATAACTTGCACTTGCTGGCTATTTTAACCTATGCCAAAGAAAAATCCGGACTTCAATCATATAAATTTTATGTGAACGGAATCTTATTTTCCCTTAGTGTCATCCGCATAAAAAACATTAAATTAATGTTAGCTTATCTTTGAATAACCGATTTAAATATCGATTAAGGGTGTTCTCAAGCACCTCGCTCAATGGATCGGAGGCAAAATTTTAATTAGTCAGAAATTGAATAAATTAACCAAGTGAGTTACCATTTCGATAAACAAATCAGCAAGATATAAACCACCTTTTTTCTTCA